ATGAATTTAATGATAGATATATGGAAATTATCGGATAAGAGATTGAGGCTGACCAAGTTTTATTGAATGGCTTAAAAGTTGTCCACATAAGGTGTTTGGTATAAAGCTTGAAAGAGAATCATGTTCCAATAGAATAACTAACTACATCTATAATATTATGAAAAAATTGTGATATAAATGATGAGATTTGGGACAACTTTGAATCATTTAGATGGATTATGATTGTGTTAAGGACCAAAAAAAAAATTTAAATTTAGAGTCATGTTTTGCTCTTATAGGAAGTCAAATCTTGTTATCAAATTGAATCTATGAAACTTTATAAAGAACTTGTTGATGCTTGAAGATTGTAATGGTTGGCAATTTATATATTTTGGTATCCATGTATGATTTGATTTTAGAATGCATTTAATATGTTTGATGAAATGTTGTGGGAAGAGTTTAAATGTAAACAATGGTATTGTTTAGTTAAAATGTGTTAGTAGATTATTGTGACTTGGGCTTTATAAAAGAATGCAGAGGTTATGAATTTTTTTAGAATGGAAACTAAAAGATTGGTGTCCAAGAACAATGCGAGAACATACTATAATAATTACGTGAGTGAACAATTATGAGTGTTATAAAATTTTAGAGGTTCAATTATTATTATATTAGATATTTTAGGAATAAACCTTATTGTGAGAAATACTAAGGGATAAATTATAATGTTGGGATTGCTTCAGATAAGTGGATAATATCCCAATAAATTTGTTAACAAATTTCTTTTCACTGAAATATTATTTTTCTCAAATATATTTCATGTACTATTTCAAGTGTTTAATATTTTGATAATTATATTGCTTTAAACTCTTGCAATGGTAATTTGTATGGTAACAAGAAATCAAGTTATAATATTTCTATATACTCATTGTAAATTATACTTTGAAGGCTAATGAAAAGTTTTACTAGCTCAAATAGTAAAAAAATTTTATGTGTGTGTATATATATATGTATTTGATAAAGGCAAATGTGGAAATGGTGAAGAATTTTATATTGAGAAGAATTGAGTTTTTAAAAGGTTCACACGAGTTTAATATTAAGAGTACAATATTTTATTTTGAAAATGATTAATTTCTTCCATGTTTAAAAAAGTGATTTTAAAAGATTGTACGCAAAACATTAATCACTAACGATAGTTCCGTTAGCCCTCGATGTGTATTGGTAAATGATTAGCTAATTTGATTTTCTTGAACTTTGTTCTCAAATTTGTTATTCATGGACTTTATAGTCCTATTTGATTTTGTGGCTTTAACTGCATTTAGTTATTTACTCGCATAAACTGTGTGTTCACGTTTGTTTTCTTGGCTTTAACCACGTTCATTTATTTACCCTCATTGACTGTGTGCAATGTTTGTTACTTGTAATGCAAAGCCCTCAGATTTAATTGATTTGTGAATATGTGTATTTATATACACTTCACAGATTTTAAACAATGAATGTCATTATTTTTTTACTTAATTTATTTCATTTTACAAGATCAATTACTAAAGTTTTGTCATTGTAAAATTACTGGTTCAATATTTTCGAAACTATATGAAATCTCTTAATCTTCAAATTCAGTCTTGATATTATATTGATGTTCTCTTTTAATTGTGTACCAGTTTACTTGTGAATTTAATTATCTTGATTTTTATAAATTTTATTATTGAGATATTATTCACTGAAAAATATTTTTAGTCTCAGATAACTTATACCTCTATTAGGTTATTCAAGGATTTTGCTACTGGATTGAAGTTCTGACATCATTTTGATTAATCTCTATTTTTTTAATGCAAAATTTTAATCTATATATTATGCTTTTATAAATAATGTTATAGGTGCTCCACATAAACCATATAAGGATCTTTGTTTTGTAATATTTTATCTGCTGGCTAGAAGTAGCTGAACTCCTAGATGTTATAATATTTCTTTAAAAAAAATTGTATTGTAAGATTTTAGGGAAATCATATTTTTAAAGGAGATCTTGCCAGAATTTCTACAAAAATATTAAGGCTTCATTTAAATAAAAATGTTTTTAAAATGGAACATCTCTTGAGTTAGGCTTAAAGGATGTGTATTTAAGTGCACATCCTATACTAATCACACTCATATTTCGAAGCATGACACTACCAATTTCATTGTGTCAAGTCTATTCCACAGCTCATAAAAATACAATCAAAAAACATTATTATATATTTTAATTTTATTTAATATATGTTGGTTATTACATGACTATTCTCTTTAATAAATACAAGAAGGACACTTGTAAAATAAAATAATTAATGTTCCATCAGAAGCTTTTAAAATGTAAAGTGAAGTTAAACTAAAAAAAAGGGACTTAAATAGTGCATAAAAGGACCGGAATAAATAGTAAGAAAAATGACAATAAAATTTCACCGAAGAATATAAATAATAATTAAATAATAATTAGGTCTTTCAAAATGCTACAACTCCTTTAAAGTTCCTTTGTACCTTTCTAGCATTAATTATTTTAAGTTAAATGACTAAAGAGTCTTCTTTATCCAAAAAAAATAACTAAATTATACTTTGTTTAAAATAAAAGCAATGAGTGTGGATCATTTTTTTCAATCATGATTTTTATTTAAAAAATTATAAGTTTTATTCTATAAATCACAAAAATTAAACAAAAAATCTCAACTCCTCATGTTGATTTTTTTTTTAATGATTGATAAACAAGTTTTGAAAATAACCAGTCCCACTCAATTTTTGTTTAAACAATTACAATTTAAATTATATGATTTGCAAAAATTGAATATGAAATCACAACTTTTCAAATGAAATTTCTTTTATCATAGAAGTCCAAGTTCTTAAAATAACCAATCATAATTTTATTTAATAAATCACAACTTTTAAATAAAATAATTAATGTTCCATTAAAAAATTTTAAAATGTAAAGTGAAGTTAAATTAAAAAAAAGGGATTTAAATAGTGCATAAAAGGACTAAAAAAATATGAGGAAAAACAACAATGAAATTCACTGAAATATGTACATGACAATTAGATCCCTAAGAATGCCAAAATTCCTTTGTACCTTTCTAACATTAATTGTTTTAGATTAAATGACTAAAAATTCCTTTATTTAAAATAAAAGCAATAAGTCTGGCTCTATTTTTTTTATTACAAATTTTGTTTAAACAATCACAAGTTTTGTTTTGTGAATTATAAAAATTAAATAAGAAATCATAACTTCTCACATGATTTTTTTTAATGATTGATTAATAAGTTTTGAAAATAACCAATCCCAATTATAATTTTTGTTTAACCAATCACAACTTTAATTCTATGAATCACAAAAATTGGACAAGAAATCACAACTTTTCAAGTGAAATTTCTTTTATCATTGAAGTTCAAGCTCTGAAAATAATCAATTACAACTTTTGTTTAAGAATTCACAACTTGTATTCTATAAATTGTAAGAATTAAATAAGAAATCACTATTTTTCATGTAAAATTTCTTTTATCATTAAAATTCAAATTCTAAAATTAACCAATTACAACTTTTATTTAAGTAATCATAACTTTTATTCTATGAATTACAAAAATTGAACAAAAAATTACAACTTTCTATATGAACCCATTTTTTTTATTTTAAAAAGTGGGCACTTTAATCATTTTATTTAAAATCATTAATGTCAAAAGGATACATAGGAACTTTGTCGTTTATATATTTTGGTTTATTGTCATTTTATTTAAATATTACTTGCTCCCATCTTTTATAAATCGCTTTCACGATTTTCACCACAATCATTGACACTTAAACTCATCAAGGTTCTAACTAGGCTTCTAACAGAGGTTATTATCCTTGACGGTGGCATTATAACAAAAGAGAGAAGACAAATCATTAGCTTCGATTGAATTATTTGTGCCATCAACTGGATCCCATTTTCATATGACGAATAAGAAATTCATACTTCATACTCAATATTTTAATCTCTCGACCTCCCATGTAACGCGCAACAATCACGTGCCTCAACTATAGTTCATTGACTTGAGTCGTTCAATGCATATAAATTAATGGGGAGGCTACAGCTGGTAGCCACACTGTCAATTTAAATGGTGATGCACATTCATCAGATCCAATGCATTATATATATATATATATATATATATATAAGTCATGTCCATTTTAAACAACGAAGAACAAATCAAAATACACTGATATTTGTAGCATTATAACCAAATATAGAAGAAACATTACAACTAGGCATTCTGCTAAAATATTCATATCATTTAATGCAGTGCCATGATCGATCACATGCTAATGTCTTCTAAATTGTTATAAAAGAAAGAAAAAACTACATATAGGTCTCATAGAGCACACTAATTTATAGATAAGTCCGTCACAATTCTAAAACAACAACTAGATCCCTTGAGACCAGAGTGTAACTAGAAATTGAGATACAAAGAAAATAATACCTTTATTAAAAATACATTACATTTATTAAATAATTTATAGCTATTTCATTAGTACTTTAACTATCGTTTTAAATTTTTATAACTGTAACTTCACATATTTAATAGTTAAACTGGTCATGTGTTACTAATAAAGTTTAACACTAATTATTTACAATTATCTCATCAATAATTTATAATTATCACTTTAATATTTTACAACTATTGCTTTAGTATTTACTATCATCTTTGTACCTTAATTTCAAATTACACCAAGATTTCTAGGGACATTGCTGTGGTTTTTAATTTTGTGGGACTCATTTGTAAATATTTTGCTCCACGGGATTAGCACGTAATTTCCCTGAAATAAATGACTTCATATATGATGCAAAGACCGACCATAGTCATCCCCACAAACATTTTGAGCCTTGTACAATTGATTATAGCACTAGTTGTAATGAGCAATTCGGATGATGTTGAAATTCATGCGGAAGAGAAGAAGAATGTGGTAAAGAGATGCGTGAACTGGTGGAAAATAAGTTCAGTTCGTCACATGATGATAAGAAGCAGTCAACTGGAAGCATGATGTTAATGAAGCCGCAATTTTCATCCATGTTCTATAAATTGTATAAGGCTATTCGCGATCGGGAAAAAGATGCAGATGGCTTTGTTTCACTCTTGAAGTCAACATGTACAGTAAATAAAGTTGATTTGGCCACCATTTTTAATAATGTAACTCCCACTGGTGATTCGTTGCTTCATGTTGCAGCTGAGTTTGGTAGAGAAGAAGTTGTGGAGCTGATTGCTTCTCACTATCCCAATCTTCTGAGTAAGGGAAATAAGAAAGGTGATACTCCACTTCATGTTGCTTCGCGAGCAAAGAATGTTGAAGCGATCAAAGTTATTCTCCTCGTTATATCAAAGAAGGCCGAATTGATAGATAAAGCCGAATTCGTAATGTTAAGAAATAATTATCAGAGGACGGCTTTGCACGAAGCTGTTTTGAGCAAGCATTCAGATGGGGTGGTTCTGCTTTTAGATGCACATAGGAGAAGTGATTTGGCTGCCTATTGGACTTGGAACAAGAATTATGGATGCAAATCACCAATGTGTTTGGCCGTCACGATAAAGAATATGGTGATTCTTGGTCATCTCCTAGAGAAAATTGCAATTCCTTCAGATGACCAGGCCATTTCAAGTGGAGACTCTCCGCTTCAAGCTGCGATATTAGAACGAAATACTGGTCAGTACATGTATTTATATTTACTCATAAGTTATAACATGCTTGCTGCTTTTGATCAGTTTGTTTTTCTTTCACCTAATATGTGTTTGTTTTTTAGTGAAGAACTATTGAAATACATAGTGAGACAAGGACCAGAAGAGCTCATGTATCAAAAAGGTGAAAGACATAATTCTCCCTTCCATTATGCAGCATACGCTGGTTTCTTGGGAGGTTGTTCATATCATGTCAAAATATTCTTCTCCCTTGTTTGCTTTTCAGCAAAACTTAGACGGCAATCTTCCAATCCACCTCGCCTGCGAAAAGGGCCATGTTCAAGTGGTAAAAAAGCTGCTTGAAATTCGGTGGTCTGATGCTGGATTTTGCCTGAATAATGAAGGACAACATTCTTCACGTTGCAGCAATCAAGGGACATGCAAATGTGATAAAATACTTATTGAAAAATCCTATGATTCATCGTGACACTGTCAATGAGAGAGGCTTGTATGGAGATACCCCGCTGCATCTGGCTTCAAAAAAATTACATCTTTGGACTCTGCTCCTTCTTTCACAAGACAAAATATCAATGCGAATCTGGTCAATAATGAAGGTTTAACAGCTCGAGACGTTGTTCGGATACAATGTAAAACTCCAATGACACGTCAAGAGGTATATATGATTAATACGTATCTATGATTAGCTGTGTCTTCTAATTTTATAGAAGAATACAAGGTTCATTTTCTTGCTGAAAGGATAGAAATGGAATGGATTGGAGAAACAAAGACAAAAATAAATTGAGGAATATGTGAAAGAGAGGTAGTTCAATCATGTTCATAATGAGAGAAGGATAATTTCAGTCATAAGGTTGAAAGTCTTGATTTTCATGAAAGTTTGTGAAAGATGTGATGTTTTCTATATTAATAATATTTGGTATTGGGTTTTATCATACTTACGAAGACAGGAAGGATAACATAGTTCATTTTTATTTTATTTTTTAATTTATTTCATTCACATCATTTCTAGCCACCAAACAGCTCTATGTTATGTCACGCATACTTGTTTGATTCAATTATGATGCAGTTCTTAGCGGATGTGATTTTAAGAAGAGCTGGGGTGCTGCTCAAGGCAAATATGCTAGGTGTGCCCTGGGAAGTATCAGCCAACGAAGATTGGAAAGTGAAAGACGCAGCTGAAACACTCATACTTGTGGCCATACTGATAGCTACAGTGACATTTGCTGCTGGTTCACAGTACCAGGTGGGTTTTACTCTTCTGATGACCCAATCACAGAACAAAGAGGCTTGGCACTTTTAACTCACCAAACATTATTCAAGGTATTCATGGCTTTCAACACAATAGCCATGTACAGCTCCACCATTGGTTCTACTATTCTTCTTTGGGTCCCGCTAGGTGATCTTCGTTTTGCAGAAAGAGCGTACGGACTTGCTAAGATTTTTGTTTATGTTGCTCTTATAACCATGCCTGTGGCATTCCTAGCTGCTATACGTTTGGTTATCAGCAATAACACGTTGCTTGCAGATGTCATCAGTGTCATTGGATTCATCTCCATTTTCTTCATCATATTTGTTCGCCTCTTAGGAAGGTTTCCTCTTGGATGTCGTCTTCCCATTTTTCGTCAACTTGGAGATTTCTTTATGTGGATTATTCTTATTTTATTTTATGGAAGCAATGACATTTTTGTTGAAGATGATGGTGAAATTGATCGAGAGTCTCAAGATGATGAAGCCAACCAAATCAATCTAGTCCGTAAATATTATTCCCTACTTTCTCGTTTTGTTGCTTTCCATCTTCCTCGCTTTGGTTTGCCTCTATCTGCTGTGCGCACGTAGGAGCCTCTGGTGAAGGGGTAGTTGCTGTTTTGATTTGTTACTTTCGTTACTGTTTTGTTAGTGATTACAATTATGGTTGTAAAGCCGACTTAGTTGTGTGTTTGTTTTCAGGCTACCTTTTACAAAAGTCCATTTGAAAATCCAACTATCTATTAGATTTAGTAAAAGTATATTCCAAATGTAATTTGAAGGTGTTTTTTATGGTTACCCAAACAAGCTTTAAGTCTTCTTTACCATTTCAAAATATTTTTACCTTCAAGATGGCCCAAATGTTAAGTTTTAAGTAAAATGTTATAAAAAGTTATGGCTAAAGTTGTCACACCTCAAAAATAGAGAGTGATCGGCACTGGTGTGAACCACTCACACATCTCGGTAAGCCTTGAAATGAAAATTTATTCCATTTTTATAAAAGGAAGAAAATTAATCAAATTACATGAGAATTAAAAGAATATATATATTTTTTAAGCTAATTGTCATAAGAAAGTGTCAACGTTTATGTAAAAATTTCAGTAGAACCTTCCCTGTAATTAGGATCTCCCGAAAATTCTACAACAAAAATTTCTACAGATAACGATATAAATCAAGAGCATATCTCCTTCTAACCAACAACCAATGTACAAACCAAAATAAAGTCTACCAACAATCCATGTGGAGCATTTATTTTTCCTTTCAAACAAAAAAGACATACAAATTATATATTTACATTAAAAGCAATAGTACCAATCAAAAATGTCCATCCATTATAGTTAATTGCCCTTTAGAGGTTGATGGTGGGATTGGCATCAGCTAACAAATCTAAAACCAAAATAATTTTTTCAGTAAATAGCATTCCCATAATAAAATTCTTAAAATTTAAAATCAACAAACTCTAATAATGGTGTCAACTAATTAAAATAATTCCTCAAAGTTTTATAGACCAGTAGGTCATAACCATAATTGTAAAATATGAGTAAGTTGAAAACGATTTATGCTATCATACTTGAAAAAAAATTTTACTCACATATAACTCAAAGTGGTAAAATTGTTAGCCAAAATCATGTAAATTTTGAAAACATATTAATCAAAATTTAAAATTTTGAGAACACAACAGAACAGGCAACAAATGTGGACACATAGTCCATGAAGATAAATAATCAAACACAGCTTATGCCACGAAAATAAACGTGGACACCCGATCCATGAGGATAAGTAACCAAACGCAGCCGAAACTACAAAACAAATGTAGACACACAGTCCACGAAGTTAACTAACCAAACATGACTTAGGCTACAAAATCAAACGCGAGTATAAAGCCCATGAATACCAAACGTGAGAGTACAACTCAAGAACCAAACTAGCTAGTGTTTAACCACAGCGCGCTACAGGCTCACGGAACTGTCGTTAGCAGCAGTATTTTGTTTAGAGTCCTCTCAAAAATCGCGTTTCAAACATGCAAGAAAAATAATTATTTTTGAAATACAATCTACATTTTCAATACCAAACTCGCATGCATCATTTTAAATTTCAATTTAAGATATGTTGAAAATAGTCTTTCATAAAATAATATACGAGCTTGCGTTATCTAAATAATCAAGGATTTCAAGAGTTTAATAAACGAAATAATTTCATAAATCTTTGAAACATATTCCCTGAGGAAATAAATGCATATATCATCCTTTAACCATCCCACATCGATTTCTCAAAGTTTCAAAACTAATGTAATTCACAAGAATAAAATATCTCAATGAAAAATTTATTAAAAAATAAAAATACCAATAAAAATAAATTAAATGGAATGCTATTTACTTACTTGTTGCACTTTCAAATCTCTAAAATATTCTTTCTTTAATTTCTATTAGGATCCTCTTCCTCCACACGTCCTATGAAGATACTAGTAGACAAAATTTAATAAATCATCTTTTAATTTACAAAGGCTTCCTTCCAAATTTTAGCTTCTACCGATATCCAGTTATTTTTAATTGAGAATTAAATCCACACTATCATCATCTCCCTTTTTTTATTATATATTTCAACTTAATTCAAGTTTTTTTTCCTCCATACAACACACATACAGTCACGACAGCAACACAAAAGAGAACAATTTTCAACATCCAACTCTATTATTCCATCCATTCACATGCACAATAGACCAACAATTGAAAGAATACAAAATTTCTCACCTTAGTTAGCGGACAGTGCACACACACGTAGGGAGGAAGAAAACTGAATCTACAACTAAACAGGGAAAGAAGAATATAGCAATATTTCAGCCTCAACTCACGAATTAATTCTTCCATAACACCATATCAGCTCTTCCTTCACTTCCCAACCACAAACGGACAAAATAAAGGAGGAAGAGACCAAGAGGCTGTCAACCGAATAGGAAGAGAAGATGAGATTTTTGTCTGAACCAAAAAGAAGGAAAACAAAGCATCACTCACAAGAAGAAAAATGAACTCAGCGCTGATTCAAATTCGTAATCAGTACACCCACTCCAGCGACCTGATTTCTTCCATCGACCAATGACCCAGATGTGCACAACAAAGATAGAACAGTAACATGAAAAAGAAAATGAACAGAGGTAGGGAGCATGAAGAAGGACCTGGACATATCAAAACAGTGATAAGCCTCCACTTCTATTGTATCGGTACCGAGCTCAGAACAGAGCAGAGGATGATGATGGGCAGTGACTTTCTTTCGGCTGAACCTAGAAGCTTTACAAATGAAATTTCTAAGTCCCTCTTTAGCTTTGTACACGTGTATTGGAAAGGAGAGAAGAGAATAACAATCAAATGGAAGAAAGGGTTGTTTAGTAATTTTGGAGGAGCTGAAACCAAAAATAAAATCCTATTTAGCATTAGGAAATTTGAATTTGGGATCTTAGTAATGGGTATCATACACACTCCTACTCTACCAATACTTCATATTGTCATAATGGTCCCAAAAATTAATATAACTATAATTAATACACCTTATTATATATTTAATAAAATTTTTTTCCACAAAACTTTATAGGTTATTACAAAAGTAATACCTTTCATTCTTTAACTTTATATAAAGTTTTATTTTTATCATTTAATTTTACAAAATATCTTTTCAATCATTTAACTCTAATACCATTAATTTCATTATAATAAATTTTTAAATTAAAATTTAAAATATTAATAAAATATTCTCAAATATTGACATATTAAATTTAATTTTTTTCAAAATTATAAAAATAATCATTTAAAACTAATAGTATTAGAATTAAAAAACTGAAAAGGTACTTTATAAAATTTAAAAACTAACTTAAAATCTTATATAAAATTAGAGGATCAAAAGTATATTTTAGTCAAAAAATTATCATCTACGTTCAATGCATGACACAGGAAAACAAAATAGAGAGAATGACATAAATCCCAAAATAGAGAATTAAGAACTATTAAGTCCCTGATAGAATTTTTTGAAAAATCAACTGCAAATATTGATTTAGACAGTTTTAAATTTAAGAGTTTCCATTGCAAATAAGAGATTTAAATTTTAAATATAACTCTCAATTTGTAATTGCAATTCTTATTTACAGAATCAAAATTTGTAATTTATTCTTTAAAAGATTTGGTCAAGAACCTTATTGTCATAAATTTCTTATTTAATTACCTTTTTTGGTTAGTCTTTCTCTAATATTTTGGCTTGTCATCCTTATTTAATTTCAGTATTCTTTCATTTGTAAACTAAACAAATGATCACTCCGAATGTTTTATAAATTTGTTCACCTGTTATTACATTTAAAAGTCCATCTTGGTGTTATTTACAATAAATTGGGTTCATTTTTAAAAGAAATTGAGGAAATTACTAATTAAAGGTTGAGTGGATAGTGCTCAATTTTGAGTTGGATTTTGGGCCCAGTTCTATACTAATTAATGCATCATCATGTTTAAGGCTTGGGCAAGTCCAAAAGAATGGATTGGTAAGAAATAACATTTAGATGCCTTTGCTCCAGCAAAAAAAATTCACTGTAGTGTAAATTTTTAGCATAATGCAAAGTTTTGAAATCCAAACCAATGTGAGGGTTTGAGGGTGTTGAGTTTGGATATCTATCAATTCGTACAACAAAAATTCATCCTCACAAGGGAAAATGATATCAAAGAAAAGTTGGAGAAGGATTAATTAAAATTCAAGGGTTTGGCTAGAGCCAAGAATTTGGATTATTTTAAATAACTGTCAAATATAATAAGACATATTTAACGATTATTTTAAATATTTTTTTCTAACTTTGTGAAATAAGAATTTTTGGTATGTTATGCATGATGGTTACTTAATAACCAGCAATTATATGATGGGATTCTATTTAATGGTTGTTAACTGTTGAATATAATAAAAAATAACCATGAAACGTAACCCTTGTCGCCGTAGTGATAACATATTTAAAAGAACTAAATTATGATGGTGAAAGTAGAGGTCACATCAAAGGAAAGGAAAGGGGAAGAAAGGATGTGTTTTGACAGGATAATGAATTTGAAGTGACGAGATATTATGTACCTCAATAATAATAATAATAATAATGAGTAGACAAAACTTGGCAGATAAGAATGGACGTGCGTGGTAAAATAATGCGTGGTAAACATAAAATCTTTCAACAGTAAGTGATGATTGCGTGAAACCCTAGCCATTCATTTTCCTCAATCATCCACTTAAACTCATCCGTATAAATAGCACCTGATAATGTTGGAGGGAATAGAACAGAAGAGACTGAGGAAAGGTTCTGGACAATAAAAATGATACAGTAAAATCTTTGTTTATACCATACACAACCTTAGAGTTAGAATAAAATATAATTTTATTTTTGTTCTTCTTCATGTGTAGCTGTACAAAGTACCAAGGTTAAGAACAGACCAGGAGGACCAGTTTAATCGGTATGATTGGGAACTGGCCGCTTGTCCGATCTCGTTGTTGCTGTAAAACTGTGGACCAGATGAACAGATCAACCGGACTAACAAACAAGAAAAAAGAAAAAAATCGAGCCCGTTACTTGTTCAAGC